GCGACCTTAATTAGTTCGATTCTCCACGTAACATTATCTCTTGATAAACGTGATACAGATGTAGGCCTACATGTAGCCTAGGCTATATTGAGATCGTGGGAAAACTTTGTTTAATTTAATAGACTTTGGAAGCCATCGTTAGCATAAAAATCAAAGCCAATGACTAGCAACGCAAACATAATCAAGACATTGATGTTGTTGAAATAAAAACAAATAATGTTCCAAAGTTTTTGTAAGCGCGCTTCTGTTGTATTTCTTGCTTTTTAAAGCCAGACTTGTGGCTTGCATGGTTGTACATGTGACGTTGAAGCGAAGCTATTCTTGCAAAGCGAAGGGGTCAAAACTGCAAGAAAACAATAAAATAAAATTACTCAAAGGCAAACTTAACGGTTGAACTAACTTTACAATAAAATTTAAAATAAATAGAGTTTACAAATACCAGTAAAACAACTAAAAACTTACACTACTTTGGAACCCTTTAATTCGTATCCCATAACAATCTATCACTGAAAGCAATCGCAACTAAAGCAATGCGCGCAATGACATAGACAACAAAAAGAGCAACAAACGCAATCGTTCACAATTGCTTTAAACCTACCAGAATACAACAGTCTAACGCACGTCGTCTTCTTTCACGACAAGCAGTGTTTTTTGTCAACAAAATTGTACTAACCTACACATTGCATGAAATAATGAGGTCAACGTTGAAAATGCACATATTTCAAATACTATTATGTATATTTTCTTTTCTTTTGAATAGATGTTCTAGAAGGAAACATCAACGAAAGATCTTCAGAGGCGCATCGAGCTGCATTTCGATTGGTCCGACGATGGCGCTGCCAGTATGAAATAAAGATAAAGGAAATCACAATTTTGGGAAAAACAGAAACTAGAATCCTACTCAACGGAAAACTCCTGCTAAAAACGGGAGAAGTTACTAAGGTCATAGATAATACATTTGACTCAACAAAAGGAGGCAGTTCTAGGAAGATTACAAGGGAAATAAAAGAGAAAAAATGGGGGATATCTAGAAAAAAAACCAATAATGGCCTCAAAAATCTCAAATTAAAGCAATTGACACAACCCTTGTTTGACAATAAATCGCCACTTATACCCATAAAAGCACACGAAGTACAAAACCGCCATCAGATTGACCTAGTGGTAATGAATATATTCATTACCACTAGGTCAATCTGATGGCGCTTATAAGCTTATAAGCACCCTGTGAAAAAAGGCAAGAGAGTGTACCGTTATGTACTAAGCATACTAGACTGTTTCAGTAGGTATATGTGGCTGCGGCCGTTGGAGACGAAGTCCAGCAAGGAAGTGGTGCGGCACTTGAGGGATATCTATACGTCAGAGGGCCATCCTAAGTTTATCCAGAGTGACAGGGGGACCGAGTTCCGGAAGAATGTTGAAAAATTTTGCAAATCATGGGGCATAAAAAAGATCGTCAGTTCGCCTTACCATCCCCAATCGCAGGGCAAAATTGAATCCTCCCACAAAGGGTGGAAGAGCAGATTTTTTATGACCTGAAAAAGTCAAATCACAGGTTCACCGATTGGGTAAGCAGACTGCAGGAATATGCAAAAATATATAATAGGCAATGGCACTCAAGTCTGGGCACAAGCCCATTTCATGTTTATCATGGAAGGAGACCGGCACAAGATGATAGGAACATTACCACCAGCGGGCCTGTTGGTGTATGGCTTGATACTGTCCAGAAAGTACGATCCAAGGCGAAGATGGTCTCAGACAAGAGTGCTTTCAAAATGGTTAAAAAATACGCCATAAAATACCCAACGTCTCGCTATTTATTGGGAGATCGGGTATTAGTGAAGATAACAAAAGGCAAAACAAAACCCAAAGTCGTGCAGGGGACAGTGGTAAAAACGAACTATGCAAAGTATAGATATCTCATCCGTCATTCAGAAGGCATTGATTGGTATCCTATATGCAACATTGCTGCGAGAACAAGACAAGAAGATTTAAACAGACGTCAATCTTACAACTTC